TTTTGAAGAATAATGTTGTAAGCAACACTTATAAAAGTTCAAAAAGGACCATAACTCAGTAAAAATCTATGCTAGAGTTACCAGCCTTGGAAAAGGACCTTAAGAGATGAATTAAATTTCAAGTGAATACCTTTAGTAGTTTTGAAGCAAAACTTATACCAAGGATTTTTTAAGTTTGAAAAGGGCTATAATTCTGTTTAAATCAATGCTAGAGTTACGGGCCTTGGATAGTGACCTTATAAATTGCTCTTAAATGAGTGTGTGAAGTACAAGCAAATATCGTAAGTGGTTCATGGGATATGATATTGCACGTAAAACCGTAACCAAATTGTTACACCAATGCTGACATCCGGGTGAGTTAAGGATAGTCCTATTTTTGGAATTGTCAAGCTGTAATGGTTAAGATAAATCTGTTAAAATATAATTATAAGCTACCTTTGAATTAAAAAAGACTGTCCTAATATTTTTATCAATCAAGAATTAACAAAATTATACATTCCAAAAGGATTTCTTATAGAATTTTCAATAAAATATGATAGACAAGATCAACAAGGAAAGGCGGTGTTCAATGAACGCAAACCCCACATGACCCAGCAACAAGAACTAGCAGCAAGGAGCCCATGAGGACCATCATGTGGATTAGTTATATCTGGATAATTTGGGAAGTAATATACAAAAATTAAAAACAATTATGGCAAAATGTAAAATTTTCTTGACTACTCAAATAAATGGGCATAATATCACTATAATTTTCCTTCCTTATTGTCATTTAATAAGAGGTATGATCTGAATTTGGCTAGACTGAATTGTATCGGTCTTTTTTTAGCCTTAGTTACTCCCAAACTGTGTGTCTGTGAAAGTAATGATTATGAACAGACATGATGTTTTGCATAAGTTGTCCATTGTGTTAAAAAAGTGTTTTATGAATATACAAGATTTGTCATAGTTGGTCCTAGGGGGCATCAAAAGTTATTTGTCCAAGGGAGGCTATTTCTAACCCCTAGGTTGTCCAAGGGGTCTTTATAAGCGTTATACCTATGAACAATCTTACTAAAGCTCAGATCTACTTTCTTTTTACATGTAGATCTGATTTCCACTGTATTTGTTTCGCAATCATTGTGATAAGGATTTCCCAAAAATTTAGCTATTATTAGCAATGCAATCAAACCTTCCTTTACATGTATTTTTGTAAGAAAAAGAATGTTTGAAGTAATATGAAACAAATAAACTGGAAATAATAGACTAAATTTTTAATGGTCAATATTGTTTTGGCAGTTTACAGGGTCTGCAGGCTATATGCACAACGCCATGTTTGTTTTCCAAATCACTCAAAATTGATTTTCCAGCAAATAAAAAAAGAAACCACATGGCTTTAAAGATTATGAAAGCTCGTCGCTGATTGCTTGTTTAAAAGGACATGAGAACACGCCCGTTTAACTCACAACGAGTGAAAAATGTCCATCGGTTAAAATGTTGTGAGCAACTTCCGTTCCTCGTTGTGAGCACCCGTCTAGGACGTTTGACACGATAAACAAGGTGAGTTTTTCATTTTTTTTGAAGATTACAGACATTTATGTAAAAATATCGGAATGCAGTTAGCTAGCGACGTGTTTTCCGAGTATGCACATGTAAAGATATTGCCTATTGGTCGACAATTTGATGGAAATACCGTGCGATGCAGTCACTTGGGGTAGCTGGAAAACTGGAGACAACTTCTCTCCGGACCAAATTTAACATTGAAAACGTCGATTTTGGTGAAGTTTTGTGCATTCTAACCTTAAACAGATGCCCACAAGTCTTCAGCGTAAATTATTACATGAAAGTCTTCATAGAAACGAAGATATACCCTTATTTGCTTTAATCCTCGTTGTGAGCACCATAACCTCGTTGTGAGCAAGACAAGCGCAGTGCGTGTCTGGTTTTAATATGTTATTCAGATGGTGAAAAAGGGGGCGTCCGTGGCTGAGTGGTTAAGGTCGTTAACTTCAAACCACTTGCCCCTCACCTCTTTGGGTTCGAATCCCGACAGGGACTTTGGATTCTTTCATGTGAGGAAGCTATCCGCAGCTAGCTTACGGAACGTCGGTGGTTCTACTAAGGTACCCGTTCGTGCCTGAAATAATGCACGGAAGGGCACCTGAGGTCTTCCTCCACCAGTAAAGCTGGAACGTCGCCATATGACCTATACTGTGTCGATGTGACGTAAAACCCAAAACAAACAAAAGATGGAGGCATATTAGTTTTGAACTGTCCGTCCGTCAGTCCGTCAATCCGTCCGAAAACTTTAACATTGGCCATAACTTCCTCATTAGTAAACGGATTTGATTCATATTTGAACACAACATCCCTTAGCACAAGACCTTCCTACGGGCCTGTATTTTTTTCCTTGACCCCTGAATGGCCTTTACCTTGAAGGTCAAATTGTCCAAAAACATTTAAGATTGGCCATAATGTCCTTATTAGTAAATCAATTTAATTCATATTTAGGCACAACACCTCTTTGGACAAGGCCTTCCAACTGCAGTACTATTCTTTTCAGTGATTGGGCATGGGGTCGTTCAAGGAGAGACCGAAGCGAGGCATCAAGTATGTACTTGCCCTGGTCTGAAAAAGATTAGAACTACTAGAAAAACTGTCAGTGATGCATAAAAATCAAAAGAAAAGTTTTGGTCATGTCTCTTGCAAAAACATTCTTTTCAGTAAAACACACTGTAAAATTAGCTAACCCAAAATTGTACCAGTGGTGAAACACCTAAGAAGTCAAGAAGATGTCTTAAAATGCCACTATTTCATGATGAAAATGCTATTTAAATGTCAAACACAGACTGTCATGAGCTTTCTATAGGAAAGACAGTGCAACTAAAATCATGAAAAATGCTCGTGTACAGAGCAAACAAACGCTGAGATCTGTTATTATATGCGACTATCGTTTTTCGCGGAGGATTACTTATTTTGTGTATTGTAACTTTTAACACTTCACTAGTATATTCTTAGCTTAATAGATAATGGTAAACAAAAAAAAACTACTTACCTACAATTTTGCAGATGTTTTGCTGTTTGTGCAAATGGTGGTGAACTAATAAGGGGAGGTAAATTATGTATTTAATTGCATATACTTCGTGTTGCCAGAGTTAACATAGAGGGCAGTCTGTGTGATATAAACATGCATGTATTTATCCTGATTTTTATTCATGTTAGACTGGCCAAATTATGTAGACAAAGAAGAACTATTGCAAAGAGAAACTATTGTGCAAAAACGTTTTGATTGCTTTTGGTAGATTGAAAATTGTATTCTCCCCACTTAAAACCAGACACGCACTGCGCTTGTCTTGCTCACAACGAGGTTATGGTGCTCACAACGAGGATTAAAGCAAAAAAGGGTATATCTTCCTTTCTATGAAGACTTTCATGTAATAATTTACGCTGAAGACTTGTGGGCATCTGTTTTAGGTTAGAATGCACAAAACGTCACCAGAATCGACGTTTTTCAATGTTAAATTTGGTCCGGAGAGAAGTTGTCTCCAGTTTTCCAGCTACCCCAAGTGACTGCGTCGCACGGTATTTCCATCAAATTGTCGACCAACAGGCAATATCTTTACATGTGCATACTCGGAAAACACGTCGCTAGCTAACTGCATTCCGATATTTTTACATAAATGTCTGTAATCTTCAAAAATTATGAAAAACTCACCTTGTTTATCGTGTCACCGTCATAGATGGGTGCTCACAACGAGGAACGGAAGTTGCTCACAACATTTTTACCGATGGACATTTTTCACTCGTTGTGAGTTAAACGGGCGTGTGAGAAGGTGACAACCTATTGCTGATAATCAGATCCTAAAGCGTTGACATATGAAAGATGTCGTAGCAGGTTAATTTGGTAGTTTGTCCAAGGGGCTTAGGGGATATTAAAACTTTTTGTCCAAGGGAGGTCATTTTGATCAAGTCTCTACTATAGGGTGTTCAGGAGGAGGGGAGTGGGGTTTATATTAGTGTTATATCTATGGAAGATGTCCTAGGCGGTCAATTTAAGTAGCTTGTCCGAGGGTGGATATTGAATGTTTTTGTCCGAGGGGGGCATTTTGAGCAAAAGTATCTTCCATAGGTTGTCCAGGGGGTCTATTTTTAATAGTAATATACCTATGGAAGATGTCCTAGGGGGTCAATTTCTGTAGCTTGTCCTAGGGTGGATATTGAATGTTTTTGTCCAAGGGGGTCATTTTGAGCAAAAGTCTCTTCCATAGGTTGTCCAGGGGGTGTATTTTTATTAGTAATATACCTATGGAAGATGTCCTAGGGGGTCAATTTCTGTAGCTTGTCCGAGGGTGGATATTGAATGTTTTTGTCGGAGGGGGTCATTTTGAGCAAAAGTCTCTTCCATGATAGGTTGTCCAAGGGGGTCTATTTTTAATAGTAATATACCTATGGAAGATGTCCAAGGGGGTCATTTTGAGCAAAAGTCTCTTCCATAGGTTGTCCAGGGGGTCTATTTTTAATAGTAATATACCTATGGAAGATGTCCTAGGGGGTCAATTTCAGCAGTTTGTCAATGGGGGATATTGAAAATTTTTGTCCAAGGGGGTCATTTGGAGCAAAAGTCTCTTCCATAGGTTGTCCAAGGGGGTCTATTTTTAATAGTAATATACCTATGGAAGATGTCCTAGGGGGTCAATTTCAGCAGTTTGTCAATGGGGGATATTGAAAATTTTTGTCCAAGGGGGTCATTATGAGTAAAAATCTCTTCCATAGGTTGTCAAAGGACGGCATTTTGATCCAAAGTCACTTCCATAGGTTGTCCATTGGGTTATTTTGGGCAAAAATCTTACATTTAAGGTCGTCCAAGGGGGTCATTTTGAGTAACTGTTTACATTATGTTGTCCAAGGGGGTAACTCTGAGTGTTTGTCCTAGGGGGGGGTATTTTCATCTCAGACCTCTTCCATAGGGGGGGTGCGGATATTTTCTGGAATAGCCCAATACACTGTGTAAACTTTAGGACTTAGGTCAGCGAGTAAACACATGTAGATTCACTACCTTTTACGTCATGTTACTGCATATTTGGAGGTTTAAATAAATATAAAGGTAAGTGCATATTTTATTATTTATGCTTTTTCTGTTCATTATTTTTTTCAGATATGTTGAATATGAATAATCATCGTATTTTAACTTTAAACAATAAAATAAATGGGACCATGACACTTGAACTGGTTTATATAAAAAAAAAACATGGCCGGCATCTAGATCAGGTCTTGGCAGACACATTTTTTGGGATACATTGTTTATTGCACTCGATTTGTATTTGTCATGGTCTTTATAGAAAGTTATTGTTAACTTTGTTCTAAATAAGACATTGATTACATTACAAAATAAATTGAAGTCAAGGCTGCGATAAAAGAACAAATAAAACAAAAGTTGCCACTTCATTTTTGTTTACAGTATCTTTTCTAAATCACTGACAAAAATGTAATTGGACACATAACATATTTTGCAATTTGTTTACAATGAATGAGCTTGACATAGAATCTAGATCTACATCAAGTAGATTTATACTGTATAAGATATTTTTAAAAAAGGAAATATATGACAAGGCTTCAGTACAGTACTGTAATTATTGACAAATGAATTTCTATTACAATTCAAGATCAATTTAGTAAAGGAAATGTTATTCCTGTACTGGTCGGGGACCATCAACCGGACACTTTTTGAACATTTTTCCATATAGATTTCATACTTTCCAACTCAGAGACCTAAAAATTTGACACAGTACAGCTAGGTTCTTCTCCTAACTGACAAACTAGTTTGTTTATTTCTGATTGTATTACACTTATATCTGAGGCTCGTCAAGGACGGTATCCAAATTACCTAAATTGTCTACACTACAGTACCATGTGTCCGGACAGATATGAACATGGCATGATTTAATTCATATAAAAGCTTGGATGTTTTAATTTTTGATTTTTAACATGATATACAATATATCAGCAACAAATGCTGAAGTTTTGGAAATTCTATTGTTTACTTTGCAAATGATTATAGCTGGTATATGAGATCAGGTATTTCTTTCTTGACGCCCAAATTTCAATGGCAACATTCTTAAAACAGACATTAAAATATTACTATTTACGAAGGTTGAAATAAATTTATTTACTAAATTATAGAAGAAACATGCATTTTTTGTACAACAAAAAGTGACTGACAACCACTGAACAAAGAAAATACTAAATTAACCATTTTCGGGGCCGTCCGGGTTTGGTGGTTGTCCGGTTTTGGTGGTCCCCAACCAGTACTGCATGCTGCTTTTGAAATACAAATAATAGATCTAGTAATGTGATTGAAGATGTGACCATAGATAAATATTAAAATGCATTTATTTTTATTAGCCCTTTGCCTTTGGTAGTATCTACAATAAATCATATTATATTCACATTACTCATACCACATGGCATATTCTACCAGCAGGGTTTCCATTAAATTCCAAACATTGGCAGTCAAAGACTGCAAAATGTATGTAATTGGAAGTCACTTTGTAGGTAAAGAAGGAAAAGCATTACATTTTTGAAGTCAAAATCAAGGTGTAAATGACTCCAAAACTTTAATAACAGAAGCCCTGCTACCAGGATATTTTTAACATTCATGAGCCAGCACTTTTTGCTGATGAAATATTTTGTGTTGTTGTTTTAGGTCTGACAGCCAACATACATTTAAGATCTTCAACTTAGTTCATCAGAGTTTTGAAGTAGATAATATGATTATCCAGCATGTTGGAGCCATATTCTTCAAGGAAATGTACTTGTAAGTGTTTTGATACTTGGTTTAAAGATCAAATGATTTACTATGAATGTAATCTTTGTATACATATGTAAATAATCATCATAAACTGACCATTCTCAACCCTTTTTATCAAATAATGATATTGATTAATTTCCTGAAATGCAGTTGAAAGTAATGTAACTTATTTGCAATTTAGCATTTTATATATGATGTCAGATGAGATCTTAAAAATATTGTTTTAAAATTACATAACTCTGCACAGTAACATGAACTAAATTTTAAGTTTATATTTAAAAATAATGCTGTATTGTTTTATGCAAATACTCTGTCAATAATGTTAAGCTCTTAAAAAATATATACATAATTTTCAGAACACATAGATAGTTCACCTATTTGCTGATGAATATACTAAACTATTGTTGGAAATGAGGCACAATGTGTGACAAAGTTCTATGCCCTATTGAGCACCAGGGTTATGGAGTAAAAAAGACAATCACTTGTATCAACTGTACTGTATTGGTCAAGATAAAAAACACTTCAATTGGGTAAGCATGTATATTTATGCAATATTCCACATTCTCTTTACTTTTGAAATAAAGAGTGCGGTGTTCCAACCACAATACATGCACATATGTAGATTCAGATTACTTTAGTCATGTTCAAGATGAATGTTACTGCCACTTGTACATGATATATAGACTGTAATATATTACACAAAAACTTACATGATGAACAAGACATTATATAAATTAAATAGAACAACATTAAATCAAATTTATATTTCCTATATGAGGCCTTTATTAGAATATGCTAGTGTTATTTGGGATAGTTGTACCTTATATGAAAAAGAAAAAATTGAAAAAATGCAATACGAAGCTGCGCGCTTAGTAACTGGTTTGACTCGCTCAGTGTCTATAGAAAGACTTCTGCATGAAATAGGTTGGGTCTCTTTAGCAGATCGTCGTTTAATGCAAAAATTATCAATAATGTATAAAGCTAAAAATGGGGAGCTTCCAAGTTATCTGGACACTTTGTTCCCAAATTTTGTATCAGAAAGTAGCCAATATAACCTTAGAAATAACGATAATTACGTAACAATAGCACGACGAACAGAAATATTTTCTAGATCATTTATACCCTCAGCAATTTCGGCATGGAATAGTCTTGATAATGAGATACGTGACTCGACTTCTTTAAATGTGTTCAAAACTAAACTCAAGGATAAATTCAAACCCACACTTGTCCCTAAATATTATTTAATTGGAGAAAGGTTAACATCTGTTTACCATGCACGTTTAAGAAATAGATGTAGTAATTTGAATGATGATCTGTATAGAAATCACTTAGCAAACTCCCCTGTTTGTGAGTTTTGCCATATCGAGGAGGATGCTGAACATTTCTTTTTTAACTGTAAACTTTTTGGTGTTCAAAGACTCCAACTTTTCACTTCCACTCGCCCTTTTCAAGTACAAGTACTCTCCTTTATGGAAAAGAAAATTTATCAATCGATGAAAACTCTTTTTTATTTCACGAGGTTCAAAAATATATAAAAAATACACATAGATTTAAATAATAAGAAATAAGTACATGTAAAAATAACAATCGTTGTTCCAATATTAATTTTTCTAATTCCCGTTATAAATGACATATTTTGACAGCCATACAAACCATCACATACTGCAAGTACAGGAAAATTACTACTATTTTTTTTTTATTTAAAAAATTAATAAGCAAATGTTTTTTTTTGTTTTTGTTTTTCTCTTAAATTTGATGTCGAATTCTATTCGCTACTTTGTTTCCGCCTTAATATTTGTAATTGCTCATGTGTATAGTGTTTAAACATGTTTTCGTTTCTATATCTTATAATGCTTAAGGGAAGGACAGTTACTAATGTTGCTAGAACTTGTTGTTCAACCCTTTTGCCCTTTGTTAAAAATGTTGTTTTGTGGAAATAATGTTATAAATTGTATTCAAAGAGCAATAAATATTATTAAACTAGACATTATATGAACCCAATAGCTGTGCAACACTATACAACAATTTACTTATAGTTCATTTCTGTTCAGTTAAATATCATATACACCATCTTGTAGTCAAATCATCATATACACTATATTGTTTCATTTATACTTATTCAGGTTTTTGTTATTTCAGGATGGCATGTGAGAAGTCAATGATTTGTCTATGTTTGACAGTATACCAAAAGTGAATTACATTCTCATAGAATTTGTCTTTAGAAGTATCCCTAAAAAAGCTGAATACTACAGTGGGAGGTGTTACAATATTTTTACTTAATTGTGAAACAAGTTTTATATATGAATCACTTTTTGCTTACAAAAACTGAAAACATATGAGGAGACATTGTTGCTATTACCCTGTTTGGGTCAAACCCTCAACATGGGGTTGCAAGACTATAATTCAAGGACATAAATGAACTCTCATTTGTGACTTCCCATGTGATTGCTAGAATCTTTTATTGTAATTGTTTTAAATTAATTGAAATTATTTCAATTTAAAAATATACTAATATGTTATTCATATTATACAATTTAAAATACACTAATCAGAATATGATTACACTGTCAATATCTGTAACTGAAAATTTAGTCAGGAACATAACTAGTGCAAGCCCTTTCTATTTTTTTTTTTTTTTTTTTGGTTAAAATTCTGAAAGACTTGAAGTTATTGTGAAAAGGAATATTTTTTTATAAAATGCAATTATTTTAAATCACTCAGTTATTTTTGCATTTTTTTGTTACCATGGCAACCAAAATACACCATTTTTGCAATCAGTGCATTAAAGAATATTTGTTTTGCTTTGGATTCATATTTTATATGCTATCATGTTATAGATGTGCATTTTAAAGTTGACTAACTTAAGTTATGATATTTACCTTAATCATGGAAAAGGTACTGTAATTCTGAGAATTTAATTCTTATGTTTAAAGTTAATATCAATAACTATTAAGGGGTAAAATGAAAAATCCTTTTTTTCTTAAAAGTCTTTAATATTGTTGTCTTTTAATATAATATATGCATTATTTTGGTGATGAATTAATCAGGTTAAGTGCAAAAATATTGCATTTGATGATTTTTTTATATTTTTGTTGCCATGGCAACCGATTTTTTGAAAACAAACGATTGTTTTTATATGAAGATATTACATAATTATACCCCCACCACAAAATGTGGGGGGGGGGCTATAATGGATTCGCTTTGTCGCGTCGGTCGGTCGGTCGGTCGGTCAGTCGGTCGGTCGGTCGGTCCGTCCGTCTCCATTTTCGTGTCCGCTCTATAACTCCTATACCACTTGAAGGCTTTTCTTCAAACTTGGCTCAATTGTTCACCTCAGCAAGGGGATGTGCAGAACCCATGTTGCCCATGTGTCAGCTCAAGGTCAAGGTCACAATTGAAGGTCAAATATCAAACACAATCATATATTAGACAGTATGTCGTGTCCGCTCTGTAGGTCCTACAATAATTGAAAGATTTTCTGCAAACTTGGCTAAAATGTTCACCTCAACAAGGGGATGTGCAGAACTCATGTTGCTCATGTGTCATTTTAAGGTCAAGGTCACAATTGAAGGTCAAATATCAAACAATCAAATATTACACAATATGTCGTGTCCGCTCTGTAAGTCCTACACTAATTGAAAGATTTTCTTCAAACTTGGCTCAAATGTTCATTTCAACAATGGGATGTGCAGAACCCATGTTGCCCATGTGTCAGCTCAAGGTCAAGGTCACAATTGAAGGTCAAATATCAAACAATCACATATTACACAGTATGTCGTGTCCGCTCTGTAAGTCCTACACTTATTGAAAGATTTTCTTCAAACTTGGCTCAAATGTTCACCTCAACAAGGTTATGTGCAGAACCCATGTCACTCTTTTGCCGGCTTAAGGTCAAGGTCACACTTGAAGGTCAAAAATTGACTTAGAAAATGTTCTTTAATTTTAACATATATATGAATATTTCTGAATCTAGGAAAGGTATTTGCTTGAAACTTAAAATATAAATGAAGTGTCACAATTAAGATATGCTGGTCAAGTTTCATAACTCTGTATTGCATTTTAACAAAGTTATGCCCCTTTTTAATCTTCAAATTTACATACAATCACATATTAGACAATATGTTGTGTCCGCTCTATAAATCCTATACTAATGGAAGAATTTTCTTCAAACTTTTCTCAAATGTTCACCTAAACAAGGTTATGTGCAGAATCCATGTCACCTTTGTGCAGGCTAAAGGTCAAGGTCAGACTTGAAGGTCAAAAATTGACTTAGAAAATGTTCTTAGATTAAAACATGTTCTTGAATATTTCGGAAACTAGCATAGGTATTTGCTTGAAACTTAAAAGATATATGAGGTGTCACAATTACGATATGCAGGTCAAGTTTCATAAACTCTGTATTGGATTTTTGACAAAGTTATGCCCCTTTTTAAGTCTTTAAATTTACATACAATCAATACTAGACAATATGTTGTGTCCGCTCTATAAATTCTATACTAATGGAAGGATTTTCTTCAAACTTTACTCAAATGTTCACTCCAATTGGGCGATGTGCAGAACCCATTTACCCTTGTGCCAGCTGAAGGTCAAGGCCACACTTGAAGGTCAAAAATTGACTTTATAAAAACTTTAGTATATTGGGAAAATGAAAGGTTATTTGTAACTGTTTCGAACATGATTTGATAATAGATATTTTTACTATTACCTGTACAATTAGTCTTTTTTTCACCAGAGATAATTTCTTTTTATGTATTTGTGTCACTTAAGTTATTCCCTTAACCACCTTTCCAAGTTGTCTTCTGTCAAGGACATTGGTGGGGGTATGAATCGCATTCAGCGATAGTTCTAGTATTACACTAAGATGAATGTTTACTTAATTTTTTATTTTATTTTATTGTGTATAACTATGAAATTATTTCTAATTTGTATATACCAATAAAAGTTAAAAATGTAATTTTTGTTGTTATGGTGATGTCATACAAATTAGAATATTTCATAAAATATCAAGTATTTTTTAAAAATAATTGTTTCCAGCTATTCAGCAGATGTTGTTCTACCACAAACTAGTCATAACTCATTTTCGCCCAAATATCACATTTGGGCCAAAAATCGCTGAGCTTGTCACATATGATGACAAGATATTCTTATAAAGTTTTCAATGGTTCATTGATTTTTACCAGAATTGTATATCACTTATGAATGAACGGACGAAAGACATTGTTCATTACTTATAACTTTGATTGACATGCTAGAAATTAGAATATTACTTGTTATTTCTTTATGATCGTGGTTATTAATAGCAACGGATATACATGTATACAATCATTTATAATCCATGGCCATATGTGTAACGCATGATCAACACCACACTTGTGTAATTGTCCCTTATTATTTTATCGCTATGAGCGAAGACCCCTCTTAAGGTTATCTGTTCACACTTAGTAACAATATGACATTTGTTATATTACCATGTTGATCATGTTGAGCATAATTGTTTATTATACAATAATTGTAATATTTATTTTAATAAAAAAATACAGATTTTATGAATATTGTTTTCTTTTCTTTTTTGTGTTTTATGCGCTATTTTAATACTGAGTTTTTACTACTATTTTAAGAATTCAATTGTCATATTGACCGACGATTATAATTAAATCAAAACTTAACTGGAAAAAGTCAGTAAACTATGGTTAATCTTTCAATATATAATATTGTTTATTCTTCAACCATGTACATTTGTATTTTTCTTTATCATTTTTTAAATTATCAATCAATTGAATAATTCATAAAATCTGATTTGTAACTTTTTTGTACATGTACTTGATTTGTAATAATTCCTCGGCATCTTTACTAAACACGAATAACAAATTAAATAAAATGTTTCAAAGTTGATAGTGTCATATTAATGCCATAAAAATGTACATTTTTTCTCAATTTAACCAAACTATTATTCATTTTGAAAAAAAAAGCTTATTTATCTGTAAAATATTTGTTTTGTTCTGTAACGATATCAAACATCTACTCCAAAACCGGGAGAGACCGGACAATAAACGTGTGGTACTATTCGCCGGTCACTAGTAAATCCCGGTCAAAATAGACCAGGAGAGACAGGAGTACATCGCTCTATAAAAAGATTTTCGGAATATTTAGGTCATCAACTCATCATTCTATTTACAGCTTTCGGAATAACATACCATAATAACCCACTGTGCGCTACAAAATGATAAATAAAAATACCCCGAAGAGCGCGATTTATTGACGGAAAAGGTGATTTCATTTGAAAATGTTTGCATTGCGAAATTCTCCAGTTCGCTATTCATTGTACATATCGCGACTTATTAATAATCAAGCTAAACCCACTGTGTGCTACAAAATGATAAATAAAAATACCCGAAGAGCGCGATTTATTGACGGAAAAGGTGATTTCATTTGAAAATGTTTGCATTGCGAAAGTCTCCAGTTCGCTATTCATTGTAAATATCGCGACTAATTAATAATCAAGCACCCTCATACCGATCGGAATGATCGGCTTTTATTATGAACAACTATAAAAGGCTCGAGAAGTTGCTGTCGCCCTTTCACAAAATCTGATTTCATTACATAAAAGGTGCCGCGTTTCGGCGCGGACGCCAATAAACACAAAAAAGTACAAATTCATATTCACGAAAAGTTATTACAAATATAAAACAAATTTGCTGTTTTAAAAAGAAACATGCGAGTGGTCTTTTGCAGCTGTGGAAATTTTGTTTAATTCGAAAATATTTGGGATATTTTTGCATAAAAAGCGGAGTGAATGATTATAAATAACAATTATTTAACAAAATAGAATTTATTATATATATTGAATATAGTATCATAATGAAAGTTTGTTTTACACCTCATTTTTTTTAATGTTTTGAAAGATTATATGCAAGAGAAATTGATTTTTTTTCTTGGCGCATTAGAGATACTTTTTCTACAAAGCTAGGAACAATATATGTTATGCCATCAATCTAAATTTAAAATAATTGCTATACAGTATATATTAAAAGTAGTATCAAAATAAAAGTTTCTTTTAAAATTCAATAAGCAGATTTTCGGTTAAAGCTTTGTTAAGTATATGGAAACATTTCCTCTACATTTTCCAAAACGGACATAGAGTATGTTAATCAAACAATTTTAAAGTGTATAAAGCTATATATCTGATGCAAAAATTATTGTTTGGATTTAGCAAAAAAGAGAATACTTCTAAAATGTTTGTGTGAAATAAAAATGGCAATAAGATGCCTTAAAGCGAGTGGCGCATGCACAAAGTCATTGCTAAACAGATAAAACCCTACTTAAAATAGCAAAATAATATATAGTTCTGAAACATTTTATTCTGTTTACGTGTATTAAATAACAGAGACATTCTATGTTACAACTTTTTGAGTAATATAATAATTGAACCGATATAATTTTACTGTTGATAAATTTTATAAAAATCATTCATAAGATAAAGATTTATACTCTTTAAGTCCCAGATTTACATAAAATATGTTTATATAATTTGATTGGAATAAACAGTATATAAAGCTGCATGCCTCCAACCACAGTATTTGAAGAAAATTAAACTTGAGTAAATGTTGTGCCATTTGCGCCAAAAAATATCCGTTGCGTTATTTAGTCATACCGGTTCAAATACACTGTTCACTCGGTCATATAATAGTGCATGGTGATATTGTAGCTATAATGTTCACTGTTACTATTTATCGGAACATGAAATGGTAAAACGCTACTCATAAAACAATACGGTAATCGATTTATACATTATAAAAGATTAAAACGGAATGAAACATCCACGTAGCGCTAAGTAACGTAAAAGATATGTTCCGATTTTTCTATGTACCGATTTGTTCACTTCGATGTTAATTTTTCGTTTAAGTTAAGTCGTATTTTGAAGCAGAGCATGCGCATAACAATTTTTTGTAGACTGCTCCTAATGATTTTACGCTTTAAATGAGATTCATTCACTACAATCAGATACGCAAAAATGGATGCCGCCAGCAATCAGTCAGGTCTGATGACCTCTCCAATAAGATTATCATAATGATATTAACTCATCATAAAGATTTTTTTTTTTTTAAATGAATATTATTAATTTCTTATATTTTACGTCTACAAACTGAAATATT